CTGCCAAAGAAGGTTTCAGGACAAAGGCACCACAGTTCTCTAGCAATGTGTCAAAGCAGCATAAGCGACTGTGAGCAGAGGAGCCAAAGTTTAGTTTAAAGCTTCACTTTTGCTTCGGCTCAGAGGCAATATCATTAGAAGATCACTTTTGCACACACTACCTTTTGAAGAAATCTGTTCTTGTTTTCTGCTCTGAACTGTTTAAAAGGCTGAATTAGAGTGTTCATAAATTGTAGAAATAGACTGAAAATGGTAATTGTTTGGGGAAGCTCAATCCTAGTTCAAACAAATGTGCTTTCTGATTTAAAGTTTGGTTTGTGACTGATCAGAGATACTGAATTTATCATAGCAAGATACAGCTGTGTCATAAAGGCTTTCAAATTGAGCATGTGAATATGATTTTCCACTTGATTCCTCTTTTTAAGCAACAATGAAAGAAGATGTGCTGTGCAGCTGTGGTATGGTAGCTGTGGATGAGAGAGAAAAAGTAGCTGTTTGGCACGTGAACTTTGAGTGTTCTCCATGTGGCTGATGCTGGTCATTAGCAGGGCTGTTGGCAGACCTAATGATAGCTTGTTTTCACCGTCCTCTGTAGAGCAAATGGGGAAGGGAGGGATATTGGGACAAGGTATACTGTATGGAGAGGAAAAAGAAAAGAAACAGTAAGAAAAAAAATACAAAATAAGAAAAAAATCAAGCAGATGAGAGAAAAGTGACAGGAAATTGTAAAAAAAAAAAAAAAAAAAAGGTTAAAAACATTGGTGAAAAAGGGAAAGGGGAGGGGGGCTCAGTATCTCTGGGTAGAGCTTGTTCACCCGCAGAGCCAGCCGAGGTGCGCCTGAGCAGCCTTGCTCACTGATTGGTGGACAGCGATGCAGCTCTTTCCCCTCCCCCCTGAAGAAAGAGGTGCAGTAAGAACGTCAGACTCAGACAGCACAAGACTCAGCTACTGAGGCAACGCTTTTCTGTAGCTCTCCCTAAGGTGCAGTCATCAGAGACATTTTGGAAAGGGTAGATGATTTAACAAACCTAATCTCCTCTGGCAAGCTTTCTATTTCTGGGCTTTGGACTCAATCAAACAGATAACATAAAAGCTGAGTTTTGAACATTTACCATCAAGATTGAGCATTGAAGGCAGAGCTGACGTCTGATCCTTTTGATTCACTGCATTGAGAAGGACGGCGGTCGGTCACCATGGGCAGGCAGGGGCATGACACCTCTGCTGCGGCTCCTGGGATGCGTATCCAGCGCTGCCAGAGCAAGATGAGCCTGTCTGCATCGTTTGAAGCGCTGGCTGTTTATTTCCCCTGCATGAACTCCTTCGATGAGGAGGATGGAGGTAAGACGACATCCAGGGAAATCTTAGTGGAAGCAGGCTGCGGGCCAGAGGTTGCTACGTGAGAGGTGGTAGAGAGAAATTAGATGGATTAAGTATTATAAAGAAGATGCAGAGGTATAGATTTTAGAGGACACTTCTGTTGGTTAAGGGATCATAGGCTTACTGTTATTAGAATCTATGACAGAGAGTTGAATAATAATATGATGCTTTTATTATTATTGATGAGAATTTGAAAGCTATGCCTTAATCGGAATAAAAGATTTACCGTCAAGGTTTCCAATTTGTTGTGAAAGACACAAACACTACTTCTCTTCTCGACAGGAAAATTATTCTGTATCAGTTTGTTGTTGGGATTCGTTCTCCAGGTCCTGCAGCCACATGTCCCATGTGTCCTAAATTGGCAAGACGCTTAACCCAAAGTTGCTCTTGCTGCGTTGTGTGCGGGGTGTGAATGTGTATGAATGGAGTTAATACTGATGGAAAGTTTAACATAGCAACGTCTGGCATCAGTGTGTGAATAGAGAATCGAAAAAGTACTTTGAGTTTTCTGTTGTGATGAAAGCATCACAAGAAGTTCACTGATTTATACAAGTTTACTGTGTAAATCAGTGTAAAAAATATTTTACACAAGACTGGATGAATTCATCACTAAATATAATATACTATATGAGCAACAAGATGGCTTTAGGGCAAAGAGAACAACTTAATTTGCAATAATAGAATTTATAGAAAAAGTTACTAAGGCAATAGAAAACTAAGATTATGTGGGGATATTTCTGGACTTGAAAAAAAGCTTCCAACACTGTTAATCATGAGCTATTAATTAAAAAACTACAAAGATATGGTATTAGAGGCATCACACTGGCATGGTTATCCAGCTACCTACAGAACAGGAAACAATATGTTGAAATACAAAACCACAAATCACAACTGCTGCAGGTTACATGTGGGGTGCCCCAGGGCTCAGTGTTGGGGCCATTACTATTCATTCTGTATATCAATAATATATGTGAAGTGTCACAAACGGTCAAAACCATTCTTTTCGCTGATGACACAAATTTGCTCTGTTGCGGTGACAACTTGGAACAGCTTCTGGATACAATGGAAAGGGAATTGAACAGGATGAAGATCTGGTTTGATGAAAATAAGCTAACATTGAATTTAAGCAAAACAAAATAATTTTTGGGAATAGATCAACCAACACAGAAAAGAAGCTCATGATAAATAGCATAGAACTAGAACAAGTACATTTAATTCAATTTCTTGGAGTATTATTAGACAACAAACTAAGCTGGAAACCTCATATAAATTATATTAAAGCCAATAGCAATACTTAATAAAGCCAAGGACCTACTAAATCAAACCTCCCTGTATACATTGTACTGCTCCTTCATACTTCCTTACATGACCTACTGTGTGGAGATATGGGGGAACACATACAAAACAAATACAAATCCAATCTTCATCCTGCAAAAACAGAGCTATATGAATTATACATAAAACCACTTAGAGGGAACCAACAAATCCATTATTTATTAAACTAAGAACACTAAAATTTCAAGATTTGATTGACTATAAAACTATTCAAATTATGTACAAAGCAAACTATCAGCAATTGCCTCATGGTATCCAGGAGTTGTTCCAACCGAGAGAAAGCAAACATAAGTTGAGAGGAACCACCAATCAGAACTAGTGCAAAACTTCACTGCGTAACAACTAAGGGTGTTAGTCTGTGGAACAACTGTGATGACGAGCTGAAAAAATGCAACTCTATATTTAAACTAAAAAAACTCTTCAGGGCAACATGTCCGATGTGTCCTTGGGCAAGACACTTAACCCTGAATTGCTCCCGCTGCTTCAGTGGTGGTGTATGAATGGGATTAGTTACTTCTGATGGATGATACTACATAGCGATCACTACAATCAGTGTGTGAATGTGTAGGTGTGCCATGCAGTGTAAAAGAGCTTTGAGTAGTCGGAAGACTAGAAAAGCGCTATATAAGCTCAAGTCCATTTACCATTACCATTCAGGAATCAAATATTGAATAAATATGAGCTGGAGCAGTGACTTTCTGTTTTTCTATTTGGTTATTTTTTGGCTGATGGTCTTGGTTAATCTGTGCCCATTATTATTGTTGTTGTTTTGTCTAAAAACTTAATTTGTTTTGGCCAACAAGTCCAACATCATACACTGATTGATGAAAACATTTTTATTTTTCTGTGAATAATGCACAAAAATAAGAAGGGGTAGGACCAGAAAAGTGTTTAACTTCTTCCTATCCCTTTTGAACATGAACTATATTATTTGAGTTATTTATTTGTTGCTATGGATCCTAAGGATCCAGTTTGTATTTTTCCTTTTTATTTTGTTGTTTGTATTTTCTTAACATGTTCAATAAATCAACTAACAATAAAAAATAAAATAGGTAGGTGTCACCTGTGGTGTAAAAGCACTTTGAGTAGTCAGAAGAGAAGTCCATTTCCCAAGTCTCTTTACATTGCTACACGACTGTCACTTCAAATGACCTCTAGTGTATTGACTCTCATGATGCTATCATATTAAGTTACAATTGTGGCTGGGAATTTACTTGGAGAAAAAGTGTTAAGGCCATGGTTTTGCAATACAGAAATTCTTTTTGTACTCCTTACTTATCTGCATAGTTTTGACTGATCACTGTGATTCTTTTGTAGCTAAAGTTTCTCTCACACTTTGTAAGTTGCTTAGCAGCTCCACTACACTGTTTGGGAATGAGACTTTAGGATTAACCTGGTGTCATGGAAGTTTGTCTTTAGGCCTCTTCTTCTCTGAGGTACTTATTTAAAGTGCAGGCTGGAAAATACATCCACTACTGCCAAACATTTTCTTTTAAGTTTGACACATTTTCCTCTATATCAGTTGCATCTTTATTTTATGTCGATATGAAGAAGGATATATACAGGGTGGTTGTCATTTGTACACAAAGGAAACATGGCATGGTGTACATGGATCAGTCTTTTCAGTTTGTAGTGAGAAATATTTATGTATTCTGATCGATAGATTGATATTTCAGGTACTAACGCCAATTAAGTAGAGCTACATGGCTGACTATCAAGTCTGATGTCTGATGTATTGTAATGACTGTAATGACTAATGGTTTCCAGGCATGTGACTTGTAGTCGAGCATTCATACACGATGTAGGTATGTGTTTATGTGCCACAGGCACAGCCACGTGGCCCCACACACAGCCTGCCAGAGATGCTGGGTGGAGATGAGCAGCATGGAAGGAGTCAGCTGTCATCTTGGATTAGTTAAAATGGCACCCACCCAATATCTTTAGAGGTAGAGCATGGACTCACTCCAGACACCACAAGACTCCCCTAGGCAGCAAGTTGCAGTGATGTAGGATTGCTTAACATGTTGTTACACAAACTGCTGTACAGATGTTTGATTGTTACAGTAATGTTGCCATGATTTGTCTCTGAAGTCTTGGTATCAGATGAGTTTTCATTGTCATAGCTGTCTTACTTTTATTTGTTCGTATTCAAAAATGAAAGCGCATTATGAATGACTGCATCTCGCTGTTTTAGTCAGAGAATTATTCCATGTAAGGCATTGACAGTGTCTGTCACTCTTTCTCCCTCTCCCAATCTCTTCTTTTGCATGTGTCATTCTGTGTTCAGAAGCGGGAGGCAAAAAGTTACGCAGCACGATTCAGAGGAGTACAGAGACGGGCCTAGCAGTCGAGATGAGGAGCAGGATGACTCGGCAGGCCAGCCGGGAGTCCACTGATGGCAGCATGAACAGCTACAGTTCTGAGGGAAAGTAAGGACCAAAACAGAATCTGTAAAAGAATAATAATGATTTTTGATCACTGATATGTGTCACTGTTCTTAATCTAAAATGAAATAGGATAATCTATTGACTCATGTCAATCCAAACTGTACCTTTTATATCATGATAATCATTATGATGTGGGTTTCTCTTTGATTCAGTCTCATCTTCCCTGGTGTGAGGCTTTCCTCAGATGCCCAATTCAGCGACTTCCTTGATGGTCTTGGCCCCGCCCAGCTGGTTGGACGACAGACGTTAGCTACTCCACCTATGGGTATGAACATGTCTAAATCAAAAAAAATTCATTGCATGTGGAATTGATCATTACAATCAAAAAAGTTTTGTAAGTCATATATTTTATTATTTTCTCTTTTTTATATTGTAACTTACGTATAGTCTTCCTTACAACTGCTAAATATGAATACATAGTATTACGTATGTAATTGTAGTGAGCTTGAAGTGAACTCATTTCGTCTTTTTTTTTTGTTACTCAGGTGATATCCAAATTGGTATGGTGGACAAGAAAGGAGCACTGGAGGTGGAGATTATCAGAGCCCGTGGCCTTGTGGGAAAACCAGGTTCGAAGGCACTGCCAGGTATTTAAAGCTCTCATACACAATCTCTAACATCATCTTTATCTAAGACTATTACACACAAAACTCACAATTTCAATGTAATCACTGAAAAGTCACGCTTTGCATATTTGAACATTTTCTCACCTCTTTCATTCCCTCTTTCCTTAGCACCATATGTAAAGGTCTACCTTTTAGAAAATGGAGTCTGCATAGCCAAAAAGAAAACAAAAGTAGCAAGAAAAACCTTGGATCCTCTTTACCAGCAGCAACTGCCGTTTGAAGAGAGTCCAGGGGGAAAGGTTTTACAGGTAGGAAAGGACATAAACTAGAGTGGAAAACATCTTTCCTTTCTCACAGCTTAAACTGTGCTCAACCTTTTTACTCATTTTGTTCCATGTTCTCGACTCTACAGGTCATTGTTTGGGGAGACTATGGACGTATGGACCATAAATCATTCATGGGAGCAGTTCAGATACTGTTAGATGAGCTGGACCTGTCCAATATGGTGATTGGCTGGTTTAAGCTCTTTCCTCCTTCCTCACTGGTGGACCCTACTCTAGCACCACTGACAAGAAGAGCTTCCCAATCCTCACTGGACAGTTTCTCTCGATCATAGCAGCGTGTGGACTTATAGCGTTGTTGTAGCAGCCAGTGTTGCAATTACAGGTCACGCCCCCGGTTACACTGCATGCTTGATGTTGTGTCTTCTGAGCCTGTTTCTAGGGGTGCAAATGTGATCCTGTGTTTTAAGCAAAAACGTTGCGCACATTGTGCACGTGGCGACATGTATTGCAAGGGCCTGGCAGCCTGGATTGCCAGGTGTTGTTGTTGATGTTTGGAGGAAGCTGGAATGAACTCCTTAGCACGAGGAATCCATCAGTTCCAGGTTTTCATCCAATTCGAAGCCATGGGGGTCAGTACTGGGAACTGTCAAATGAGTTCTACAGAAGCCCTTTTCGAATGAAAAAAAAATCCTCTAATTTTTGTTTTTTTTGTTTTCATTTATTATTATTTTCTTTAATTTTCTGTTAATGTCAATGTACTTGTATCTGAAGGGGCTGACAGTGTTTCTAAACAGCTGCTTGGTCATGCCACGCCAACAGACCTAGCTGTGTAAATGGAGTTTTGGAGACATCACTTTTTTGGTGAGGTGTGTCCTAGCTTGTATCCACGCTCCCACCAATCCCAAGAGAAATGCCCCAAATACTCTAAGTTTATGTACTGAGTCAAGCCGCAGTGGTAAATCACCAGAGAGACTTCAAAGGTAATCAGAGGCGATTATGAAGTGGCTGCCATCAAACCACCAGAAAATACAGTAATGAACCAAACCCCATGAAAAATGTACAATCTACCATCATTCTTTCTCTGTTGATATATTGTATGAAAATTAAATGAGAAAAGATATTTTTTTCTATTTAGTTCATTTGCATGGACACAAATTTAGCTGAATAAAAAAAAGATAACTTATTTTCTTGAGGCTGCAACTTGCAAAAAAAGATGAAGAAAAATGAATAAAACAGATCAGCCATTTTCAACAATTTATATTATTTTTAAAGATAAATTTCACTAGTGCATGGTTTTCAAGGGGAGTGAATGCAACATCGTGATTTAAAAATACATTCTTTATCATTCTTTAGACCATTCATGAGTCTGTCTTTTATAGACATGCAGATAAGAGAAACTTTAAGGAAACTTTTCAAGTTATTTAACAGAAAACGTTTATGTGACAAAAAGTAATAATGAAAATAAATGTAAATGATTTATTTCATTGTAAAAGGCTCATGCCTTGTTAAGATAAACATTATGTGCAAATTGTACATGTTTCTCTTCTTCTTCCTTGTCCCTGGGTACTTTTCATTGTACTTTTCATTGCTACCATTGTTCAGTTCCCCAATATTGTCCAGATTTTAGGACTGTTAATTATTTTACAGTTCTGTATTGTTTCAGTATGTATTTAATTTTGGATTTGATTTGTTTAACAAGCATGTTGAAAAGGATTTTCTGCAACATGGCTTGGGCACACCTTACAGTAACTCAGCATGTTTTGATAAAGATGATATTTGGAATTTTTGCAGTTTCTTGTACAGTGCATGTCAACTTCATTACTTTTCTCCCTCACTTTAAATTGAACTCTACAGCAAGTTAGTTCCTGGTCATCCATGGCCAAATATTGAAGTTTTAACAAAAACATTCCACCCCCAAGGTCATATTTTCTTTCAGCTTTTTTGAGAAAAAAAGTGACAAGGAAAACATTTTATATTCAATGGAGGTTGACAAAACAGTTGTGATTGCAAGTGTATTTTATTTCAGTATTGTTGACAAACATGCAAAAATAATCTGTACTGGTACAGCAAGAGGTCTTAACATAATCAAGAGTCAGCAACCATGCAAGATGTATGTTGCTATGGTTCAATTTTACAGGCACTGTTTGTGAAGTTGAGCTAATCACAAGTTCAAATAACAAGGGATATTGCCACAGAAAATGTTTTTTTCTTGTTTTAATGAAAATGAAATTAATTTACTATATTTTTGTTAGTTTTATTTAAAAGCCAAGACCAGTTTATATTTTATTTTATATTTTTAGTAATTATAAATACTTCTCATGTCTGGGAAGTATGTTACAGTATGTCTGAATGAAATTGAACTGAGGCATTATTCCTTTTCCATATTACAAAAAATGTTTTAATGTCCAAGAAAATCTTGTGGCTGTAAAAAGCCACAGTATATATTTTAATTTATTTTCATTGTAAATACCTTTAGATGTCAGAATTTGAATAAACAAGCTACCATGAATAGATTGATGATTATTTTGGAACAGGAAAAATGCCTCTTGATGACGAAGACATATGTTTATTATCCTTTTGAATGCCTTTTAATTTTCTCTTTTTGGTGCAATGTGTTAATGCCAAGGCTATGTCTTGGTTAAGTATGGTTGAGTACAGAGATTTATGTAAGTTATTTTTCAAATTAAAAATAAAAAAATTGATATTACACTTATGTCAAGTGTTGTGTGATAATGACATTATGCATACACAAGTGCATAATGCTTTGGTGTGGAAGAAGTATCTGTTAAAGGGGCTTGCAACATCACTTTCTCAAAGTCTGGGTGCTTGTTATGAACACATACAAAGAAAAGTGTGTGTTTAACCAGTCTGAGTACCGGTTGTATTGCATAGGGTTCATTGTGTTTTTTGGGTGTTGTTGTTTGGGTGGCTGTGGTAGACTTAACCCCAAATTGCTCCTGCTGCGTTGTCAGGGGATATTATATTATTTGATAATAAGTAAAAAAAGTAAAACTTTAAAATGTACTTGATAAAAAATCTAACTGAAAGCAAGAGTTAAAAAAAAGTTCTGCACCCTGTATTAAAAGCTCCCAGAAACTTTAATTGATTATGAGTAACCCTCATTGGTTGACCCACTTTAGAAGAGATGTTTTTTATTGCAGTTGAATACATTTTAACACACTTTTGATTTAAAAGTTTTCTATTTGACTTTTAAAATGTCTTTCACTCCACCTGACAGATGACATGGATAATTGTTTGAGACACACCAGTAATACTGCCAGCCTGATTAAAGGCCTCCACCAAAAAAAAAAACAGGTACACAGGATAATGACTACAGACCTAATACCATGATCTCTGTTGTGATGAAGTCTTTAGAGCGCCTTATGCTTTTAATATCTAAAATACATCTGGACCTCCTTATGTTCGCCTGTAGAGCCAACAGTTCAGTCAATGACAGTTAAAATAACCTTCTAATTCATCCTCATCATTTGGCCTCAGCAGCAACCTATGCAGATAACCCTGATCACTCTCTGTGACTACTGTTTCAACTGTGCAGCATTTCCACCTTCTACGGACCATCATTGTTATTCAGTCACTGCACTAAAACTGTTTATTTATTCAATTGCTGCACTATCACTGTTTAATTTAATTTTTAATTTTTTTATACTTTAAAAAAAGTAGGGAAAATTTGGTTTCTACACTCTGTTCAATGAACATGCTGCACACACACATAGGCTGAAATACACACGTGCACAAACAGGATCCTATGAACATGCATTAATGGAGAGGTCTCAGAGGGAGGGGGCTGCCCACAGCGAGCACTCTTGATAATTTTTAGGGCTTGATACCTTGCTCAAGGGTACCTATGCAGTGCTCTGGAAGTGGGCTGGCACCTCTCCAGCTAACAGACCAACTTCCGGACTTGATCTGTGCCGGAAATTCTGTGATGATCTGGCAGGTTGAGGGGACCAAAGTCTGTGTCAGATGCAGCCCTGTCTGCTACAGCTGCTAGTGTCTCTATGGATGCTGACACATCTGAGTCTCTGAAAACCCAGCTGTTGCCCATCGGAATCCTGGAATGGTAAGGCTTGAGCTTGTCATGATGAACCACCTTGGCTGTCAACTTTGAGCTCTTTTTGATGCTGTAGATTAAGTCGTGCTAGGGGCCTTCGTAGGAGGGTAGAAACTTTTGACGTGCTGTTGCTTGGCACGCTCCACAGACTTCTCCAGAGCCTCTCGGGCTAGCTGGTGAGACATCTCCAGTCGTTTCCTGAGCTGTTTTCCTGAGCTGCATTTTCAGGCAGTAGACCGACATCCAATTAGACAGGTTCAGTTATTTCTAGGCTGAAGAGCAAAATTTTTGGTGTAAGGCCTGTGGAGCTGGGTTTAGTTGCACAATAAGCCATGAAAGCATATAGAATCATTTTTGTGCTAGGTGCAAGATCAGGAATATCCTGTCGCAAAATGATGCAGAAAAACTAGTTCATGCATTTGTTACCTCCAGGTTGGATTATTGTAATTGTCTTTTGTCAGGGTGCTCTGGTAAGTCTCTAAAGACTCTTCAACTAGTCCAGAACGCTGCAGCTCGTGTACTGACTAGAACTAGGAAAAGGGACCACATTACTCCTGTCTTGGCTTCTCTGCAATGGCTCCCTATACAGTCTAGAATAGAATTCAAGATCCTTCTTCTCACTTACAAAGCTCTAAATGGCCAGGCACCATCTTATCTTAAGGAGCTACTAGTGCCGTACTGCCCCTCGAGAACATTACGCCTTCAGTTATCATGCTCCTCTCCTCTGGAACCGCCTTCCAGCTGGGGTCCGGGAGGCAGACACAGTCTGTATTTTTAAGAATAGACTTAAAACTTTCCTTTTTGATAAATCTTATAGTTAGGGTTGGTGCTCGTGTAGACCAGCTCTTAGTTATGCTGCTATAGGCTTAGACTACCTGGGGGAACTCTCTCTCTCTCTCTCTCTCTCTCTCTCTCTCTCTCTCTCTCTGTGCATATACAGTACATCATATTACTGCATGTATCTATCTGTAAATCTCAGTCACTAACCACCTATTTTTCTGGGAGCTCTTGAGCTCTCTTAGGCTCCTTGAGATCGTTGGCTGACGGCCTGCCAGAACAACCGTGTCTTTTCAATCCCCAACAGTTGACACATCCCTTGGAAGACGGCTGACTAGAAGTTGGTGCCTTGAAGAGAGTGTGGAGCTCCGTACCGGCACACCCACTCGGAGACAATCTTTTCTACTACTGTTGAAGCTTGCATATCAGGAACTGGATATGCTTCGACTCACTTACTAAAATAGTCCTGCACAACTAGTACGCAAAGGTTGTGTCTATCAGTCTCATTTAAGGGTCCCATCAGGTCAACTGCAATCCTCTCCATGGAAGCACCGACTCTGACTGTGCCCATGGCAGCACGAGGAGTTTTTGTGGGACAGGCTTTTGCTGCACAGTTGGTGCAGGTGGTGTGACATCTTCTCTCATGTTGTACTAGTAGTACTTGGTTTTAAGGCGTGTTAGAGTCCTCTTTGCTCACCCACAGGACCGTCGGGCATCTGCTCCATAACAGGTGAAATGTGTGGGGCAACAGGATCTGTGAATGTTGCACCTTCCCTTCTTGGCAGTAAAATCTTCTCAATAACACTCCCTCTCTTTGATATAGTCTTTTCCACTGTGCCCAGTAGGCTTTGGTGGCAGGGCTGCAGGCTGCTATGTCAGCCCAGGGTGGCCTTGTGCTTCCTTTTTCCATCCAGCCTAACACTGGTGCTATGTCAGGGTCAGCTGTATGAAGTTGAGCTGAATGGAGTTGCTCTAAAGTCCAGCCAGAAAACAAATCAGTGTGTGCTGCTTCACTCACCCGGTGAATGATTGGATGAGCCTCAGCACTGCTGCAGTTGCTGACACAGGGGTCCACCTCCCCCACTATAGGTGACTCTGGCTCAGCTAACCTGCTGTCCTCCAAGCTGTCAGGTCACTACCCCCACTGGCGTTTACCCTGCAGGGATCAAAGCAGCAACCGTCTCTGCCAGACAATCAGTTAAGTTACACTGCACACCTTTGTGCTGGTACTGTAAGTTGCTGAGACTGGGGTCTGTTACTGTGCATGCACATGTTTCTTGACATGGTTTCCTGGAGAGGGATGGATAACTCTGAAATCGTACTCAGCTAGCTTCTCCAACCAGCAGGTGAGCTGGCCCTTCAGCTCTTTTAATCTGGTTAGCCAGCGCAGGCTGCTGTGATCAGTGCGGACTGTGAATGGCCTGCCGAGTAGATACTGTTTGAAATGAGATGTGAACTCCACCACTGCCAGTAGTTCTCGTCTGGTTGTGCAGTAGTTTTGCTCTGTAGATGACAGCCTCCTGCTCCCATGAGCCAAAACTCTTTCCTCATCCCCCTGAATTTGGGACAGGACAGTCCAGTTGAAATGTGCATACTTTTTAGTGAGTTCATGGAGTGGTTTTGCGATGGTGGCGAAGTCTGCCACAAAGTGACAGCAGTAGGAAATCCAGGCCCACAAACTGTCGCACTTCTGAGACGTTTTGAGGTGTGGGCCAGTCTTGGACCTGCTGAATCTTCTGGGGGTCGGTGGCAACACCATTAGCAGAAACAATGTGTCCAAGGTATGCCACTTGCTCCCGAAACAGGCAGCACTTGGAGGGTTTCAGCCTAAAGTTGGCTTCACATAGCCTGTCGAACACTTGCCCAAGCAATGTAAAAAATTAAATCTAATTATAATATTCACAAAGCTAATAGCCACTTAAAATTGTGAAGCAAAATAACGTCTGTTGTGACCAGGTGGTAAATGTGCTGCAGTATTGACAAGAGATCTCATGCGCAAACTTTCCAGTGATCAGGAAGATTCCACCTCAGTATGACTTTAAAATAAATGATCTTTATGTAAAGTCTGTAAATATTACTTTGACATTACATTATTAATGTAACCATGGTGTAAAGCAATCCAACTTTAGGCTTGTCTCTTCTGGACGGTTTGAACTCATTATATGAACGAGGATGAGTGTTTACTCTTTTTTTTGTCCTTGCTTGCTTCATTCAGAGGGAAAACTTTGTTTTAAACGGTGAATATCACATTTTTCGAGTTTGCCATTAAAATAAAACCTGAAAAACTTTCCCCTAAACCCACAGGTCATCAGCTTTATGTGGACAAATAAGCTCTGTCAGCATGAGAGCACAGCTCTGTTCAGAAAGAAGGTGCAGACAGCCTTTCTCTACACTCAGACTCAAACCAAGAGCAAATTGCAGGGCAACTTTTGGGGTGTTTATGCGTCTGATTATCATTGTCTATGTGCTTTGTGAATTAGACCTTGAAAAGGAACAGATTGCAGGGGCAAATGATGCACACATTTTGGAGCTATTAGCGGACGCAATCGATTCTGAGTTTAGAAGCATTGATGTTAAAATTGTGGTCAGCATGCAGTCATTTGGGTTATATGTGTACAGTTTTATGGTTAATAGATTGAAATATAAGAGGAATGGCTTTTTTCATTATTTACACTATTTACAGATTAAGACAGTTACAGTTTATTGAGAGTAATTTAATAAGTTAAGTGTTTAAATATTTACATTAAAAATCTATCTGGATCATTTGAATGCAGAAAATGTTAGTTGTGAGTGGAAAACAGCATTTTTGCCACCAGTAACTGAAACAACTTTAAGTGAATTTGATCTGGGAAGGGGAGGAGTTTGTGGAGTTAATTGGGCTTGAGACAAGCAGAGACTACAGCCACACAGTCTTTTGACCTCTTTGTCTCTGTCTCTTCTTTTCTCTTGATCTTTATTTACAACTATGAAATATGTTAGATTATTTGGTATCTGATCTTTGTTGATGTTTCTCTAAGTAAGCAGTTAAACTCTTGTCGAGTGGTCCTGTGGATCTTTTAAAGTGTCAAGCTAAGGCTTCATTCAGTGGAAACTGACACTTAGCAAATCAGGCCCACAGCCTTTAATTGAAGTAAACAGTCTTTTACTTGCAGGAAGATAATTTTCAAGAACAGGCAAACAAATCCGAAAAGGGAATAGGCAAAATGCTGCTATGCTTGACACAAAAACAAAGATGAACAAGAACAGCGGGAAGGGCAGACAGACTTCTGTACGAAGGTGAGGGAGAGACAATGAGTTGAACATGGAAAACAAATGAAGCTGGAGGTATTAGATCTGAAACAAGGGGAGAGGTAAGTTACCAAAATAAAACATGAAATAAAATAAAAAAGTAAGAGGGGTCGGGAGGCAGACAGAAGGATAGAATACCCTCCCTATGGAGTCTAGAGGTGGTGGATCGAAGAATGCAGGATATGATGAAGAGTGGTTTCTGAGGCTGTATCTTAACCCTGCTGAGGTGGAATGGAGGTGACGGGTCACAGCAATCACATTAAGATGACAGCAGAAGAGAGAGAACATTGGTTGGGAGTGTCACGTTGGATAAAAACAAAGAGCAGAAACCAAAAAATATTTATTTTAACGATTAGGCAAATATAAACTTACTTAAATTTAAATTCAAAAAGAGGAAAACAAGCCACGAGGAAGATCTGACAACTGACATGGGGAAAATCTGACATCCAACAAGGGGAAAATGTAATAAAACACACTAGAAAATAGAGAGACAGACGGATAAGGAATTACAAAATAAAACAGGAAACACTAAAGATTAAACTAGGAAACACTAATACACAAGGGAAACAAGGGACACCAGGGAAGAAGGAGAAATTAAAACAACTCTGAAATACTCAAAATACAAAACTAATTACTACATTTTACAATGTATGTTAAAGTTTTTATCTGATATATCTTAAATTTATACACTGAATGGCAATAACAATATATTAACTGAGTTTCACACGCTGTCATGTCTGCCTGATTTCAGTGTGATCTGTGTGCTTCTGCTTTTGGTTGAAAATAGGAATGACTGGAACATGACAAATGACTGAGGTTTGATGAGACAGAGGAGTTCCTGTTTTGGCTGAATATAAGAAGAATGTAAACCACAGGCATGAGACTAGATGACCAGGTCTACTGAGCAGGTTTGTTCCTTGTGATTTATGTTTACATATATAGCTTTTTTGATTTGTATTTTTTTAGATGTTTTTGTTTTTTTCCAGACAATCAGTTTATCAGTTCATTACCATCTTTTTATCAGTGCTGCGTTAGCATTTCAGAAGAGTTCTCTCTGAATATCTTCATCTCTATCTAGAATGCTTCTTTCATGGATTGTAATACCAAAGAGACTCCGGGATATTGGTTATCTAACTCTGGATGTTTTCCTAACTGGTAAAAGGGATGGTTTTCAAAGAACTCTTATCCTACTTCTCACCTGCAACTTCTCCAGTCTCCTGCTCAGCTCCCTACTCCTGCTTTACCTCCTCTTCATTCTGAATTATGAGCTAGCAGTGGCTGGAGGGATTACTGGCTGTTTTGGGATAATACTGACAGTCGCACTCTTCCTTTCAAAAAGAGTGAGATGCTTTGGGACCCTATTTGTGATCTCTATTTTCATGAAGAAGAGTCGGAACCTGCTTCTGACTGCTGGGACCAGTTTGGTTGTTCTTAGAAACATACGCAACACCTTGGAGAACCTCACCGAACTGGTCAGCAGTATGATATGCAACTTGAGAGCCAAGAAAGAAGCTATTGTTGCTCCATTCAGTAGCTATGTAAAGGTGTTAAAATGGGTTGGAAACATGCTCAAGGGGGTTACAGATTTAGGGGTTTTTAACCTTGACTCCCAGCTCACAGTTTTGCCCAGACTGGAATCAAAACATTTCAGGGAGAAGCTCATGGAAGCAGAGCAGAAGCTAAATGTAACCGTGAAGTATGTACAATCCTTTGTAAATACAGTATCATCTGTGAGTGATAGGATGTTTCCTGCCATGAGCTTCCTTGTGCTAATGGTGTTTATAGTGCTGCATATAAAACATTTTTGTAATGACATGAAATACAAAAACAGGTTCATCAGCAGCAAATTTGTTAGTTTTGACGAGAAGCAGAAGGCAGAAGGAAAGCCCTATGTCCTCCCCCTCACACCAGAAGAAGAGAAGCTGTACAGCCCGGTCACCTCAGCCTGCCCCACCACCAAAGATGGGAGAGCTATGCTAAAATTTGGCATTCCAGTTGTCCACCATTTCATTTCCTGGGTCATATTTATAACTGTGGATGGCTTATTGTACTGTTTTGTTGATATTGTAACAACAAAGTTATCTCAACTGGAACCATTCCATGTACCATTGTTAATGAAAATCAAAGTAAGTCATTTTTTCTTTCTTTGTGTTTTGTCTGCATTAACAGTTTTGTTATTGGCTCACGGGCACTTACTATTTTTTTTCCTGCTAGGGGATTGCAACTTTAATAGGTATACCATTTGTTGAGGAAAACCATGAAGAAGACTTTTCCTACTCTGTGACCCTGTTTGAGGAAAAGTGTCTCCCTAAACCCAAGCTGCTGCTCTATAACTCTGTAGTTCCTTTGGCTGCCATCCTGCTCACACTGCTCATAATGGCTCTGATGGCAGCTAAAGTGGCCCAGATCAGAATGATCGTTTGTGAGCAATTCTTCTCTGCCGCTGCAGAGAAGAGAGTGGAATACCTGCACACCAAAATCCTGAGAAAGCGGTTAAAAAAGAGGAGGGAGAAAATCTGCTATCTCACATCTGTCTTTTTTAAGGTAAGCATATTAATACGGTAGTTTGTAAACCTGCTTGTTAAACAATTGAGGGTGATATTTAATTTCCCTTTTTTCTTTTCTTTTCAGCCACATTTTTGGTGCCCTTTGCTCTTCAGGCCCAAAGAGGATGTACAAGGTATCGTATAAGCGTCTATGCTCCATGATTTTATGACTCAAAAGAACACATACAAAACGATAAGAAATTCTCCTGGCGAGGGCACTACTATCGGAAAAAATACACATAGAAAAAATGACATGCTGTTAAAATGAGTGGTTTTTAAAGGCTGGTGTTCCCTACCAACTTTTACTTCTTGCTCAACATTTGAACATTTTAGTTTCATCACACATATGTGAACCCAACAAAGATAAGCCTTTATCTAAGCTGTCCTTTCTGTCTAAGCCACTTGAATTTCTGATCAATTGTCCTCTTCATGTCTTTGTGGAGGAATCTAATCTACTTCAGGTTTTTTTTTGTTGATAACAAATTTAGTTTGCACTGAAGATCTGCCAACATATTTTTTATACTGTTGTATCTAATATCAATACATTTTACTTAAGCTGTTTTATGTTATCATAAGTGGTGCTGCGTTTTAGTGGTAGAGTCAGTCGTCTCTCAACCCGAAGGTTGTTTGGGGGGGATATCTCACCGGCATGCAGGCTACAAATTAGTTTGTTAACTTGATCCTTATATTGGTCAGTTGCTCAGCACGCGTCTCAGAAATTTCAAAATGAGCTGCTGGGCTTGCCACAACGAGCCAATGGGCTTAGATCAGTGATATCACACTGACAATGACGCCGCACTGACAAATTTTTATCGAGGGGGGCTAGAACCGAGCATTACATGCAGCTAATGCTACAGCTAACAGGAGGACGTAGGAGAAGCTGCGTTTCCGCGGACTTTGAATTTTTGCAAATAGATGTGCCTAAACATGCACAGTACACTTGAAAAACACACTAAAGGGCATATAAAACCAGAAAAAGCATGATATGGGACTTTTAAGTTAAGAAATGCTTAGTTAATTTCTTTGTTAGCTCTTGAACACTATGTATTTGAAAGGGAGGGTACGCTACAGTGCATGGATTGTAATAAAGCAGCCCAGTGAGAGATATTGCATGTTTTGCTGTAATGTTTGGTTTGGCTGCTACTGTACAGGTTCCACCAAAATGTAATATTTATTGTAAGTTATTTGAAGCGTGATGTTATCATCTTGATTGTATAGGAAACGGAGGGCTTAGCCCTGCTAGCCCATTCATTCTAACCTTCCCTGGGTATTCACTACATCACCTACGTAGCCTTCATTGATGGGACAGCAGAAGGCAGGAAACATGGAGAGAAGAAAGTAAGACCTGCGGCAAAGGGCCGAGGCCGGTAGTTAATCCTGAGGCTGATGTTTCAAGGACAGTAGCCCTTGGTATACAGGGTGATGATCTACTAAATGAGCTAAACTGGCGTCCTGCCATCACTCTATTATACAGTGTAAAATCCACAGTTTACAGTCTGCTTTGGATTAAATCCAAACCTTTTACTTTGTGTGCTGAGTACAAATTCAACAAGACAACATCAATCCACACAAATTGATATCTTTTTGTTTGAATCACTTTTGATAGAGAACTGGTTTATGTTATGTACAAGTTTGAATCTCACAAATTGTATAAACTTAGAGGGACTTCAAACTCTCTGACATTGTTTTTTCATTTATTTATTTCCTGGATGTCTTTGTTTCTGTGCTTGTATACTTTTTAACTTTGAGGAATATTTCACCAATAAATGTGTGGTGCACAACTGCTGTTCCAAATACTTGTCTCTAACTGTACAATTCGTATTAAGAATGTTCCAATAGTTCATTGAGTTATATCATATTACACAACAGCTCAATCTGCCAATTAATATTAATGGTAACCACGGAGAATGGTTCATAGGGAGAATACTTAAACATTGATAAAAGCCAACACATTACATCCCATTAATCTGAAGGTTTAAATTCTATTCAGTGAACACTCAGATACATTTTACATTTATTTTCAGAGACATTATATTACATAAAATGAATTATCTAAGATGACAGGCGACAGTACTCTGATGAATTTATGACACAGGATGCCACTGTGCTGCCACCTTAACAAATGTATTATGACAAAACATTAAATCCCATAAGGAATTTATAATTAAGGTTGCAATTATGAATTCCTGATTGTAGCCGATAGAGCACTGAACAGATTATAGTAACCCTAAATAAAGGTTTGACCTAAGTGTAATGCTTCTTTGCAGAGCATAAAACAGTGAGATTTTCTTATATAATCTCAGACTGATGTCCCTATGTACAGTGAGAAGCACTGTCCTCTCTCTGTCTTGTCACTGTTAAATTACATATCACAGGTGTGAGACAGTGGTAACACTTACTTCAAAATACTTTTCATTTCTTCAACTAGGTTAGATTGGCAGTGAAGAACAATGATGACAACATTTTATTCAAATCAGCCCCACTGTGTCAGCTGTGAGTTTATTGGTTATTAAGAGTGCCTGTGGTTGAGTATTGCATGATCAATTATGTATGATATATGTATGACATACATATTCTCCAGATACAATGGATTGCCTTGACTTTGTTTACGCCATTGCAGTCATAAATTAAACTATTGTTTCAAGGCTGACATTGATCATTACCTAGAAATTCAGTCCTCATTATAAACTTTTTAAATGTTTTTTTATTGTTATGGACCCCAGTGAGGAACACCCAACAATATTTGGATAAACATAGTGTTGACTGTATAAACCCCCAACGCCAGCCCCACACCATTCCTTCCACTGTCGGCAGCAAGAGGAAGGAAGCGGTACAGCTCAAGGATGAGTAGGCCTTCTGTGACTCACACACTGCCACTGACCCGTGTGGTAACCTGATAAGCTCACATTATGTCTCAACTGGCCCTGTGGCATAATAACACGCCAGCATGCCAGCCCAATAAGAAGCTGCCACATGATGCTCAGTGACAGCCACAAACCTTTTAACCAAGGCGACCAATGAATGCAGTCCAAATATGTGGGCAAAGATGAAGTGAACATGATAATTTGAAATCCTGCTGAATATGCAAATACAGAGTCAATCTGGGTCACCGAAATAAATCTTAATACCTCTACGCATGTCAGTGCATTTTAATTAAATATTTCATCAAAGGGAAAAATGCTTTTGGGTGAGAAATACCAATCCTGTTACCAATAACAACAAACATAGAGAAAAAAAGAATGAAAGAGAAACATCCAGTAACGAAAAATCATCAACTGACTTCTTAATTATGTTATGATAAAATAAACACAATAATGTGCAGAATAAAAAGTGTAATTGGATCAACTTTCTAATAACATAAAATGTTTAACAATGAAATCATACATGAATCATTTTTTATTCTTTACTGTGATTTATTGGATTGCAATATAAGAGCAAATAACTCCAGAACAGCTTCCCCGGTGGGTTCTACTCACCTGAGCGCTGAGAAGAACTGATCTATTGATCTCAAACAGTTATAAAAAGAGAGATATCCGATGTTTTGCGTTAACCTAAAGATGACAACTACAACCTTTCATGCAAACATGTAACATATAATATATGTCAAATATGTCAGATGTGCCAGTAGAATTGTAGAATTGTAGACAACCAAATGGAAACGGAGAATACTCTTTTTTTTTTGCATTCTTTATTTTTTTGTGATTGAAAGTATCCATATTCTTTGTCAGTCATTCAAATAGAAATGACTTTGCCTTTATAGGGTTTTCTGGTCACAGCTGTAGGTTTTCCGACCTGCAAGGCAAATATAAAGCAAAAGAAAAATAAATTACCTTTGTGTACAGCGCCTCATCAAAATCTGGTTGATGTAAATATTACATTATTATGGGAATTTCCCTCTCCTAAATAATAATTTTGGCAGTCTAGTGTCATCTGATTCTTTAATCATGATCAAGAATGGATAAACCACAAGTCTGTTTTGATCTCATAAACCTCATGAGGGAAATAAGTGGCTTTAAGATTCAGTGCTATCTCCCTTCATGTAGACTTCACCAGATATCCCTGACTTTGTCCACCTGTAACTTGGTGCTTGAAAGAGAGAGTTCCAAAGGGATTATTTACTGTTTTGAGAGCCATTCTGCACCCCCCCCCCCCCTTTTTTTTCTTCATTACTTTATTTTCTCCTTTCTGTAGGTCCCTAAGGAGGTTCTTTGTGGAGCTATTACGGATCCCTAATATGAAGCTTCCCAATATTAAAGAGAGCAAGACGTTTAACATCATCTAGTTCAGAATCATCATTCATGGATAATTGTTAAAGTACCACAAGTAGCACTGCCATGCCACACAAGGCATAAAAACAGACATTCAAAAATACATAAATTAATAAATAAACCAGGCTGTAGATGGCTGACATGATATACTGACTGAGCTAAACCACTGCCCTACCATTACTCTATGTTAAACTGAACTGAACATCTGCTTGCTGTCGTTTTATGTTTTCCCCACAAGCACAGAGCTCGATGTTTGATGTGATATTTTCAGCCTGGTAGGGCCATGCCCTTTGCGTGAATTGCTTCATCATGACCTTCTGAACTAGGGAGGTAAATGCCCTCTGTTCAAAGATAACAGACATGTTCAAGTTGAGCTAAGTCTGGGCTCAGAATGTAGGTCGGACCGGCCTCCAGCCATGGGAGCTTGAGTACAGCAATCAAGGGAGTAGGTTTGGATTCAACATTGGGGGGGGGGACAAATTTTCAGTGGGGGTCTGGGTGTTCCCCCCCAGAGAATTTTGAGCATCAAACACTTCATTTCCTGCATTCTGGTAAATTTTTATGCAACAATTTGTGCCTTTTCTGAATTAATTTATGGCGGAAATTTCTTTACTATGTATAGGAAATTCAAATTATTTTTGAATTACTATTAATTATTCAACTGTATTGTTCAGAACTTTCTGCATATTCAAAACATTACAGGTGCTTTGGGAGGTTTTTTTAGGAATCATGTACATCTCAAATCAAATCTATTAGAGAATGACACCTTGTTATAGCCTTAGTATCCAAAATGTAAAACTACATAAAAGCCGTTGTTATGGCTGACTAATCTTTCACTCACTATTTGGGAAAAAAGTTTATTGCACTTAAAATCAATTGATAGGCAGGCTATATAAAGAATAATATCATCAAGGCATGTAGATTTATAGCCTGCTGTTTTTATTAAAATGTTGGCAGGCAGAGGACAGAACAATTACACAATGAATACAGCAATAACGTAACACTGCCAAACATCACAATGACAGCGGACTTTAGGGACTTCTGTTCTGTGTTGTTTAACTCTTAATCAACAGCCTAAATCATGGTTAAAAGCTAAATGAGTGATAACTTAAACGATGTTATTTAGTTATGCTGGTTCAGAAGCTCTCTGTGTTCAGAAGCTCTCTCCACGTCGTCCATTCATTACTGATAATTGGACACCTCGTCGGGCATTAACTCTTATACTTTGTGGTGTCACCTCTATACAGTTAATGGGACACTAATGACCATGACTCCTAACCTGACCGGACCTGATCCATTGTCTCAAATACGTATTTGAGAGGCGGTGCCGAAGTGGGAAAGGATTTAACCCTTTGTGTACCGCATGAGGCGCCTTTTTTTTCCTTCAACCTTAATATTGGTGTGGACATTTCAGCCATCATTTGAGATTGGTATGGACACGTCCATACGGTCCATACGCAATTCTACGCCTATGACAGCAATGGTCATATTT